GTGCCCACACTGCCTTTACCGAGAACCTCTGCTGAAGCTCGCAATAGATCCTCAAGATTGAATGAGTACTTCTTCCCATCGAAAAAGACAAGCTTGTTTCGCTCCAACTCCCCTGCACCTGCGCTGGAGTACTCTTCTCCTTGCTCATCCACTCCCTTGTCACGAACTCTCTCGCGAGAAACATCACGACCTGTAGCCTTCGCAGAATCTAGCTGCCCTTTCTTTCCATAGCATAGACGGAAGATTAGTGCTAGGCTGAAGAGAACAAGGGCTGCAACTCCACCTACTACAATACCCGCGACTGCACCTGTTGATAGCGGCTTATCACCTCCTTCTTTTGCTACCTCTGTTGATACTGCAATGGGACCGGGGGATGGCGCGATTGGAGAGGGACACACGGATTCGAGTGGAAAACCACACAAGCCGGGATTGCCTAGGTAAGAAGCTGCCGGAAATTTGGACAGGGTGGTTGGTACAGGCCCAGACAGGTTGTTGTTGGCAACATTGAAAATGGTCAGATTTGCTAGATTTAGAGGCGGTATGCTCCCGGAGAAGAAGTTGTTGCGAAGGTTCAACATGAACAACTGGGGGAGAAGCCCTAACGACTCGGGGATGACCCCATTCAACCTGTTGACAAAAACGTTCCACAAGGTCACCTAAAAGACTAACCAGCTGCACATGTGGACGCAAGATGGCTGTGAGATAAGCCGATACAGTAGTCGTCATAGAAAATGCTCTGACATTCCGGAATGACTAATACTCACCTGTTATACTCCAAGCTCAAGTGAGTGAGCCGCGGCCAGACTGCATGAAGATCATTCGGAAGGGGTCCGTAGAAGTCGTTTCCTGCTAAGTACAATGACTCCAAATTGTTGCAATTTCCAAGCTCGCCAGGAAACGATCCCGTCAACCAGTTGCCGCGCAAGCTCACAATACGTAGCTCCGAGATCAAGCTTAGGCTTCCAGTTGGTATGTTTCCCCTGAATCCTTTACCTGGCAAACGGACCTCCGTGACCCTGTTCCCAAAGCAAGTTATTCCCCTCCAGTTGCATGTCCAGGATGCGTTGGTCCAGCGAAGCTTTGTTCCTTTGGGATCATGGAAGTTGCTGAAGACAAGAAGTGCCCTGGTATCAGCTCCTAAGTCTTGGCCTGCCACAGAAGCTACACCGAGGAACGCTAACAAAATTGTTGCCGCCTTCGCAATGCTCCACTCGGTTTCACGCTTTCTTTTAGACATCTCTGATAGTGTGTGTGATGATCCCACAAACCTACATTTGCAGAGAGAAACTGCTTTTATGTAGGAGAATTATCGTCTATGATATCACATTCACTCGCTTTGACCCACGTCTTCATCAAAGCTAGTTGCAGGGTTATAGACCATATGCTGCTCCTTCCGAAGTGAAGCGTCTAAGTGAATATTTGTGAAGAGGCCTGGAAAAATACGCACTTAATAACTCAGGCGCTTACAACAATGAAATGATGCTCAAAAGAAGACTTGCATTCTCCCCTCAACCGCCAGATATTTGCCTACTCTCTTCAGTATTGCTGCAACAGTTCACGTGATCAACAGAGGCCACGGTTCAGTTTAATGAAAGTAGTGATCAAAATAGAGCCAAAGATCACATTGCCTTTCATGTGCTGACTGACGGTTCTCTTCCAACACATGCAACCATCAATAACCGTGTACTTCAATTTTCTGGGCTTGTTATTATTCACTACCCTTGTCAATGCAACAGCACCCCTCGAAAGATATACCTGTTGCGTAGTAAACCCGATTGCTAAGCTTCATTTAATGAACACTATGTTTGAGAGCTGAACTGTAGATCAAAGTTTATTTGTCTGCAGGGCATGGCATATATAACTTATATGACACAGAAAATCGTCAATCCCTTATCTACAGAAGACAACCCCCCCCCCTCCCCCCCAAAAAAAAGGCAGCAAGGAGGAAGAGGTGAGCACAACGCAGGGCTTTCAGGCGTGCATGAAATTGCACCAAAACCTTAGAGTCCAAACCACAGTGCAAAAGACACCAATCCAGAGACTTGGGTACACACACGTACCCCTCGATAAAGGACGCTTCCAATGCGGCAAGGTGACGACACTACCTCTAACAGTTCTCCACTCTGCCTCTCTAAGGGCAACACTATTAGCTCAACTCCAGCGCCACAACGACTCGTGCTCTTCTCACTATTTCCCCCAGGCAGGAAACGAAAAGTGGTGCTACCAACTTATAAGTCTCAAGTTCACTCATACACACACACACTTGCAATGCACCCGATCCAATGTAGAAGCCACACCATCAAGCAGACCAAGCCAGTTCCTCCCCTATCAACAACCACACGGGCAAGCCCCACGTACGTAAAACCAACAAAACAGAGAGCGAGAGCGAGAGCGGGTAATGGCAGCTCCTGCTCCTGGAGGCGGGAGCCACAATAGAATGCAGAATCTTCTCTCAAGCAAAACTTGGCGCCCATTGACAGATAACACGAAGCTCAAAATAGAGCGTGCTATGGCTTAACTTACCCTGGCCGACCCCGCATGGAACCCGAGAGTGGTCATGACTGTGATTGCAGGGCCCATGCCCAAGAAGCAACACGAGCAGAGGAGACAGGTGAGAGATGCTGCTGCGCGTAGTAGTAGCGTGGAAGGCCTTGAGCTGCGTGACGACTCGTCGTCTCCATAGCACACTGGGCTTCATGAATGCTCTCTACTCCTACTCCTGCTGCAACTACTCCCTCCCTCCCTCCCTCCCTCCCCAGACACCGTCGGCGTCAGTTGCCCCCCATTTAATGCTTCTACGTGTGACTGCGTAGTACCCAGAACCCAATTTTTTCACTTTTCACTGCAATTTTTTTGAAAATATTTGACTTGTGTCTTCCACTGTGACTTATGTCTTCCGCCGCTTCAGATTCCTAAACCTTTTGTCTAATTACTTCGCTCTTTTGAGTTAGTGTTGTGAGCTTTTTGGTTTTGTACTCTTTTGTTGGGTGTTGAAATTGGCTCATCACCATCTTTGTTCCTTTGCAATGACTGAAATAGTTGGGAATATGGGTCATGGTTGAAACATTATTAGCGTCAGCTGCTTCAACCTCAAATACCTTTCAACCATTGTAAGAAAAACCAACGTGAACACATTGCTGTTTGTCATCTTCCAGTGTATTTCAGGACGGTAATATTGAAACTTTCCTATATTTTAATACTACTTTTTACAGTAAGGATGTATAGATACTAACCTAGGTTATCCAGTGACAGGACCAGACAAAACGAATGAATGAAAAAGAAACGAACCACGTCGCTTCGGATGGATGAAAGAGTTGACGACAAGGTAACCGACAGGTGGACGTCGTCGTCGGAGTTAGTTACTCCCGTGAGACAGTCATGAATTGGGGAACCGGATTCGTAAAGACCAGAATGGGGGGGGGGACTTGAAAAGCCACAACAAGTATGCAGTCAGAGAATTTTCGAACGTTTGAAGGGAACACAACATTCATCTAACGTAACGAATAATGAGCGTGAAAGTTTTCGTTCATCCGTCGTGGATCCCGAGGCCGGGCAGGAGTGGTCATTCTCTCGGCGATGGCTGAGGAACGTTGTTGTGCACATGTATTTACTGCAATCCCAATCAAGCTCTGATCCCATGTAACAGCTCATTTAGCAGAGATCAGGGCACGCCGACAGCTTCGCTGACCGCGCACTCAAGGCCCCTGCTCGAAACTTTGTCTTCACATTTGCACAGCTCTGGTATGCTTCTGCTACTGTTGCAGGCTTCAGTTCCACGTCTCTCAAGGTTTAACTTCATCCTAGCTGGATCTCGATGGGCAGTTCTTTGATACATATCCTTGCTACTGAAAAGAGCACAGATTTATACATATACCCATCCCCACAAGTATGCACTGGAAAAAACCTAAAGTGTTGGGTGGGTTCATCAGGGTTCGTTTTGACGCTACTGAATTTGCACAGTAACTCAGAGAGTGTAAACAGACGCGCGCAGGAGCTTTCGTATGTCTTGGACTTCCTGCTCACCTCCCACTAGAAAGCCTGCAAAGCCTGGACGCTTTCGGGGGTCGCATGGTGGTTCCAGTGGTTCGTCAGCGAATGAGCCTTGCAAGAGATTTGAACTGGTTGAACAGTTTCGTTCACTGCACATACAACGGCACATTGTTAACGGGATTGGAAGCCAAGAACAAGTTGGCTTGAATCCTTTGAATCAGATCGCTTCAGTGCTACGAAGAGTTACAGCTGTCTATCCAGCTTTTATATATTTATATTCACACACACACACACACACACATACTAACTGAAAGCGATGCGACGATTTCCCCATGAAGTCGGCATGAAGGAGTGAGTCCCACGTCAGCTGTTCGGTCATCCTGCAGTAACGATTCGACGCTGAAACAGCCGACGGCGTCTGATAATGGGAAGGGGTGTCCTCCCGTTCCACCCCTTGTCTGTCTCTATCTGTTCCTAAACTCGTCCTTAATATACAGTACTAATGTTCCCTCTAGATGATAATGCTGATGCTCCATAATCATGCACAGCATCCTTGTCAACGTTAAAAGCTATGGCCCAGGCCTCACATCTGTCAGCCCTGCATGAGAGCTAGCAAACGCTGAATGCCCTTCTGTTCCTTGGAAGCGTGCCTTAAGGTCCTAGCTAGGCACCATTTTGTGAGCCAAGCAACACCAGGCAAAGATGCTGTCACAACGCTGCCGACACTCTGTTCCCTGTGATTGCTTTGAAGCTGGGATTCATCAGGCTGCTGCTTGATTCCGCCTTTCATACATCGACACCGGTGATCTACACATTCTCAAAACTTTCATTCTGTGTCAAGTTCCATGCATTTTCGCCATGGTGATGGATGCTAACTTTTAGATCGATCACATCTACAGTTGGTCCTCGTTATCCAAACAGGTCTAAATGCTTCAAGTGTTTGATAGATTTGCAGAGGTCTCTTCAAGAGGATTAGTTTTCACCCATGTTACGAGAGATAAAAAGGTGGAGGGATTTCGAAAGAGATTCAGAAGAGTTGTGTTCTTTGTTTTGTACTTTCAAGCTGTAAGAATAATGTGGATGCCATGAGAGATGGAGTAAGATTATTGGAGCGTTTATTACTGCTGTTACATGGCAAACTGAACTAATATGATTGCAGATTTGATTCGGTGGATCACTGACAAAATTGGGATAAGACCTAATATGAGTAACTATTACTTTTATCCATAATAATATAAATAGAGATTTCACCACCCACACTGTACACACCTTGTGTACAACTTTAGAACCACATACCTCTTGCTTTGCCCTTGTCTCACTTAAACACCATATAAAGCTCCACAATATTTGTTGACTAGTACTTACTTCAACTTTGATTTGGATTTATCCAAAATTTCACAACTTAAATTTATCACACTTATCAATTATCCTTGCTTCAATATTTTCTATCATTTCTTTGACATTGCATACTTCTTGCAAAAAACCCATCTATTCTAAATTTAAAAACATGTATTATTTTTTTAAAATAAAACATGTATTAATAAATATATATTTTTTAAAATAAAAAATACAAATATATTATGAGAAAAATTAATAATTTTACATTAAATAAAATTTTAGAATATATTTTGGAGAAATTTAATAGCTTATAATACACAAAAATTACGCTTATCAGTTATTTAATTGTGAGGTACTTAAATTAGATTAAAAAAATTTATGATTTTTTAAAAAATTCTTAAAATTTGTAGATATATATATATATATATATATACACATAGGAAAATGTTAAAATATTATTAAAACCTCTAACACTGTTTTTAAATTATAAATGACAGTGATAATCAATAAAGATTTATCACAAAAGTCCTTATTCAAACTTCGATTCTGAATCCTAAATATAATTTTTTTTCAAAAATAAAGTTTAAAATTCATCAAAGGTCTTCTAGTTGCACAAATTATAATACTTTTAAACTATAACTGTCAACAATAATAATAAACACACTCATCAATAGATTTTCCAGTTTCAAAAAATATATATATCATTAGTAAAAAAAAAAAAAAAAAAAAAATTAAATATTTGTCCTTGCAGTTAAAGTTAACTCTCCTTCTTTAATACAGGACTTAAAATTTTGGACTACTATAAAAAAAAATATATAAATATATATATATATATATATATATTTATGTTTTACTATGGATCCTGAAGTATTAGACTATGTCTTATGCTAGTCAATTAGTTCTTTACCAATTTAAAGGATTCAGTAGTATTTGAAAGCCCTTAAGTCTTCATGTATTTGATGTTAAAAATATAAGTTATGTTTTTTATTTTACTTCTCTTTTTACAAATCTTTGTGATGCAAAATAAATATTCTACTTTTCCTACACTCATTGTTTTTAAAATCATTCTACCAAGAGCATACTAGTTACTTTTCTCAAAAATGAGTTCTTATAAAAGAGGCTTTAATCTCAAAATTGCTACTTTTGAAGCTATAGCTTGGGCAAGTAGAAGTTGGTCTACTTCATCTTTTTAAGATTAAAATTTCAATAACATGGTTTGCATAAAATTTTCAAATCTGATAGAAATTAATATAAGTTAGTGGGAAAAAAAAACATGTATTTTTTAAAAGAAGACAATATTTCTCATTTATTTTTGTTGACATTGACAAATACGAAAAATTTGAAATTGTAATAACTCAGATATGTTCTAAATATGATTTTCAGATTCATAAAAAAATAATTTATTTTTGAAACCAATCAATGTCCAGAAAATCCAACAGCAAGTATATTAAATATGCTATAGATTGGAGCTTGAATTGAATTATTAATTCAAAGATCAAATTATTTATCCACCTTAAGCTTTTATTGATCTTTGTTTCACTTCAAATCATATTATTTGTAATTTCATTGTTTTTGGTGTGTCTCAAAGAAAAAAATCAATGAAAATTATGACAGGATTATTCATTATTTTCCACAAAATGAAATATTTTACTTCATTCTACTGCTCCCAGCCACAAAAGTTCCATTCATCCAAACAAACCCTAACAAAGTATCATCCATCTCTATGATGAACAGAAACTGCTCTGGCATAGTTGAAGGATCTCATTATGGGGTCATTTAAAAATACAGTTCAGATACTTCAAAGCAGAAGCGGTACTTTGATCAGTTTACTCTTAAATTTCGTCTCCTTGTTATGATGGTTAATCACTATAGATTCCACGTCAGCATGGATTTTATGAAGGAAAATAAATAACACGTGAAATATTCAAATATTTGAAGATTTTAATTCAGTTTATTTAAACCCATTAACATTAAATATACAAAAACAATTTTTAAAAATGTGACCTGAGGTTGTCAGTTTGACTTAGTTTTGATGACGGGTTCACGTAAAAATGAACTCCATCTTTGAAATTTTACTCCGAAAATGATTCGGTCTATTTAATTTTGAATTACTAACATTATGTGTGACTGAAATAAAATA